AAAAACACAGACACAATTAATCGTCGACCCCCACGAACATGTCGGTGATCAGGAGGTTCGGGGGGGAGGCCCCAACGTCTCACTCGATCGGTCTCACGATCGATCTCACGATCGATCTCACTATCGGTTTCGCTCGATCGATCTCACTCGATCGATCTCACTCGATCTACTTCATTCGATCGATCTCACAATCGATCTCACTATCGATTTCACAATCGATCTCACATTCGGTCTCACTATGGGTATCACTATCGATCTCACAGTCACTCTCACAGCCACCGTCATCATCATCATCAACAACATCGTCGTCATCAACGCCATCATCATCATCATCATCGGGACACCATCATCATCATCATCACCTCATCACCATCATCATCATCACCATCAACATCATCGGGGCACCATCATCGCCACCACCACCATCATCGACATCTTCATCGTCGGGACAACATCATCATCATCATCATCATCATTGGAACACCACCACCATCATCATCATTTCATCATCATCATGAACATCATCATCATCATCATCGGGACACCATCATCATCAGCAACATCATCATCAACACCATCAGCATCGGGACGCCATCATCATCGTCACCACCATCATTATCACCATGATCAGCATCGGGACATTATCATCCACATCAACATCATCATCACCATCATCGGGCCACCATCCTCAAACTTAGAATCATCATCATCTCATGCTCATCCTCATCATCAACCTCATCATCACCGTCGGGGCACCATCATGGTCATCATCGTCATCAACATTTTCGTCATCGTCGGGGCACCATAATCATCATCACCATCATTACCAACAGCAGCATCATCAACCTCATCATCATCATCGGGACACAATCATAATCATCATCATATCATTACCATCAACACCGTCAGGATCAGCAGCAGCATTACCATCATCGTGACACCTTCATCATCATCAGTATCATCAGCAACATCATCATCAACAACATCATCATCATCGGGGCACCATCATCATCCCCATCATCATCAACATCGTCAACATCATCACCATCATCACCATCATCCTCATCATCGGGACACCATCATCATCACCACCATCATCATCATAATCATCATCAACAACATCATCATCATCATCATCGGGACACCGACGGGACACCGCGGGCCACGGGCCCCCGGAAAAAAATCATTTGGTCCGGCCGTGCCTCAGCCGGAGGCGGGACACCGGCGGGACACCGCGGGCCATCGGCCCCTGGAAAGGAATCATTTGGTCCGGCCGCGCCTCAGCCAGAGGAGACTTTCTTCTCGCCCGCCCCTCGCCCGCACGCGCGGCACGCACGAACACGAAATCGAAACCGATTTCCTGGTAGGGGGGCTCTCCGTTCCACTTCGATCCCACCCCCTCACCTCCGATTTATTTGTGTCCCAGGTCCCTTTCTGAAATGCCGAGCAATCAGCGCCACCGCGGCCGCGGCGGCCGCGCGCACTTGCTGGCCGCTGCGCGTGCGAGCGTGCGCGGGCCAGTGCGGCCGCAGAGAGCATTAGCCAAATCCGAGCACTCATCGGAATCGCCGCCGCATGGGTTTTGCAAACCAATGTGCGGGTGGATGGGTGGGATGATTGCGCGAGCAGTGGAGTGAACAATTCACCGTATTCATATACACATACACGTTGCACCACTTTGACTGCACCACATAGGTTGCACAACATATATTCAACAGCATATATCCCACCACGTTGATTTCACAACATAGATTACACCACTTCAATTACACAACATAGATTGCACCATATACCTGGCGCCACATAGCTTGCACGACGTATAGTGCTAGAGTGCTAGAAGTACACGGTCATGGGTCCACGTTGGTTAACGCACGCACGCATGCGCGGCCATATATCTATGTAGAGTATCCGTATATATATATATATATATATATATATACACGCGTGTGCAAATGTATGCGAACGCCCGAATGAAGGAGCCAGGCCTTCCAAATCGGTATCCCATCGTGTCCCCCCCATGTGGCATCCACGCGGCGGTTGATGACCAGAGGGGGATATCATAGCCAAGGCAATGACGTCTCTCCAATTACATAGCTCTTTCCCCTCCTTTCAGCACGTCCCCTTCTCCTTCACGCACATATTCCGAACCATGATGCGAGCCTTGTCCCTCTTTTTGGTCACATTCTTCGACGCACCCGAAAGAAAGCGCGTGAATACCGTCCAAAGGCCGCCCCAACAACAACGCCGACCTTCGAAATCCCCGCGGCGGGGCATGCGGGCGCGCGCCGCGCGGTGGCAGGACGGCGCCGTGGAGCTGTGGCACGTTCCCGAGGCGCCCGCGGGCGCCCCCACCCCGCGACGTCGCTGCACCATGGCCGACTTCGGCGGCGGGGCGCCCTCCGCGATGTCCTGGTCGACTGCAGCGGTGTTGACGACGGCGGCGCCGACGGACGTCGGCGTCCGCGTGGCGGCGGCGTACTTCAGGGCGGTGAGTTTCCGTTGTCGTCGACTTGGGCGGCGAATGCGATGGCGACGGGCCCAGCAGCTCGCACAGTTGCAAGGAGGGGGGGAGAGGAGGACTGTGGAGGAGATCCGGGGAAAGTCACAGGGAGATGGTGCAGGAGGAGGGGGTGCATCCCGACAATCCCAAATCGTGCAAGAACATTATTCTTGGGACTTCAACAAAACGAACCCTTGAAGCATTTGCACATATTTGAAGAACGAATGAGGGGCATGATAAGTCGAGAGCCACATTTTGAAAAGGAACCGCCCTCCATCCTTGAAATTGCTTTGAACATTCATAGCGAAAGCGCGTGGCGCTACGGAGAGAGCTATAGTCGAAAATGTGCCGCCCTTCATCCTTGAAGCTGTTGCAAGGTTCACGCTTCAGGACCATGAGTGATGGGAAAGTCTCAGGCGAAACGCCATGCCCACCCTACCATCACGTCTGGGCGTGCGACACAGAGGAATTCTCTTAGAGCAAGGGATGAAAGAGGAAGAGGAAGAGAAAGGGTAGGATGCCGAGCAAGGACGTATTTGGAATGGGGGAGGAGGAGCAAGATGATGATGATGATGATGATGATGATGATGGTGATGATGATGATGACGATGATGATGATGATGATGATGATGATGGTGATGATGATGAGGATGAGGATGAGGAGGAGGAGGAGGAGGAGGAGGAGGAGGAGAGGAGGAGGAGGATCATTTGCAGACGTTTAAGGGCCTGCGCTGGGTCTTCGGCGACAGACGACGACGACAGCGACAGCGACAGCGACAGCGATGACAGCACGAGCTGCGACGGCGGCGGCGACGACGATCACGGCGCAAACGACGGTGACTCCGACGACTGCGATGCCGTCGACAACGGCGGCGCAGACGACGCAGAAGACAGCCGACGGTGTCGACCGCCGAAGGCCGCCTTCTAAGAGGTCTGAAGCACGGCAGCGGCGGGCGGCCGTCGATCACCGGGCTGCGGCCGCCGCCCCCCGAAGAGCGCCCGCGTGCGCGGCAGGCGGGCGCGGCGGCAGCGAGCCGCACCTCGTGCTGGGAGCCTGGCGGCGCGGGGCAGAAGGCGCGCACCGCGGGGCGGTCTGGCGGTCGGCGTCGCCGTCGCCGTCGTGGCCTCCCGCCGCCTTGGCCGCTGTGCCCGCTGCGCGGTTGCCAGTGCAGGCGCAGCCGCGCGGCAGCGCGTTGCCAAGAGGCTGGCGGTGTCAGACGTGGTGGGGCGGTCCCGGGACAGATTTTGCAGTTTAGGTGGCCCTTGAGAACCGCTGCCCAGAGTGTCCAGGAGGCTGGCAGTGTCAGACGTGGTGGGGGCGTCCCGGGACGGTTTTTGCAGGGTGGGTAGCCCTGGCGCTGTCAGACGTGGTGAGGGGGTCCCAGGGCGGTTTTGTTAGGGTGGGGGCCCTTAAACACCGATGCCTAGAGGCTCCAGGAGGCTGGCGGTGTCAGACGTGTGGGGCGGGGGGTCCTGGGGCGGTTTTTCCAGGGTGGGGGTCTCCAGACGTGGTGGGAGGGTTTTGGGACGGTATTTGCAGGGTGGGTGGCCCCTAAGAAGTCTTGTCTGGAGGCCCCAGAGGCTCCAGGAGGCCGGCAGTGTCAGACGTGGGGGGGGGGGTCCCAGGACGGCTTTTGCAGGGTGGATGGCCTCTAAAAACCAGTGCTCAGTGACTCCAGGAGGCTGGCGGTGTTAGACGTGGTGTGGGGGGGGGGTCCTGGGACTGTATTTTTGCAGGGTGGGTGGCTCGTGAGAACCGATGCACAGAAGCTCCAGGAGGCTGCTTGCGATGTTCGGAGACACGTCGTGGCCTGCCCGGGATCGCACCGCAACCTCTGGCTGGCGAGAAAGCGGCGCCTGCTGGAGATCCACGACACGCCCTCCTCAGAGCCGAGCCCAGACTTGCCGGGGGTGCGCCTCGTGGCCAGGGTCCAGAAGTTTGTTTACATAACAGCGTTTTGCTACAGACTTTGAACAGAGGTAAGAAAGGACCATTTAAGAGTCCTATCCTAGAGTGCCTAAGGGGGGGCCGGAAGCCCGAGGACGTGAGGTCCGGTAGCCAGTGCGGCAGCTGTTTCGCCCGAGACTTCCTCACGATTTATTCAGGAACCGTGCTCTCGCCCCAATTCTGGTTGCATGCTTGGTCTGGACGGCCACGATCTTTTTTGCTCCTCGATGTCGGCCTCCAGGGTCCGTTGTCGAGCTGTGCTGGGACGCCCAACCCAAGAGCAGAAATTAGATCATGCTCGCAACAAAGAGATCTGAACCTATCCAGAGCAACATATCCCGAAGCCATCCCAGACACCCAAAGAGAGAGAATCGAGAACAAGCACGTCCAAAACAACAGGACACACGGCATGCAGCTGTGCCCAGACGCATCCATCCCAGACGCTTGGCGCCTCGATCTTTACCCCAGACATCCGACGTTGTGTCTTTTTTCGCAACGTGGGTCCCCAGAGGTCTGGACCTCTTCCCTGGGACAGTCCAAGGGCACCTAGAGGCCGAAAATGGTCCCAACGAAACATTCCGTCCGTTGTGTAGTTTTTTCTTGACGCGACGATGTCAGAGGTCCTCACTCCTTGGCAGATTGTTTGGCTCGAGCACCCCCTGGATCGAGGCCCTCGAGGTCAGGCAGCGCCCACATCGGCGCGGAGGGCTCTGCGCCCCGCAATGTCCCGCGCTGTGGCGCTCCTGAGCCTGCCCGTGTTCGCAGGCGCGGCGGCCGGGATGAGGAGGGGCCGAGGTTTCTGGAGCGGCGGCGCGCCCGAGGGGGGAAGGCGGAAAGGGGCGGTCCTCGTCGGAGGGCTCAGAAGGCCTCCGGCCTCATGGGAAGTTTTCAGAGCCTTCTCCTGCGGAGCCACGCAGGATTTCCGAGGAGCCCCGCCGCCTTCTGAGAAGGCGTTTCCCAGCCCACTCCCCCCTCGGCGCGCTGCCGAGTGGAGGGCGGGGCAGACGATGAAAGGGGGCGACACTGTCTTCGAACGTCTTCGTCGGTTTTCGGCGGTCTTCCAGCCTCCCGAGTTAGGACCCGAACGCCAGACGACGAGGATCACCCAGGGAAGGGGGGGGTGGAATTGACAGGCTGATGCTGCGGTCCCGCCGCTGGGCGCATTCCTCGAAACATTGGGCGCCTGGCGGCAGGAAAACCAGCGAATTGCATGAGGTGAGCTGATTATCCGTAAGGGCTTCGCCCCTTGCCGCCGGCCCCCTCTCTATCATAATGGAATACATCAGAGCTATATTGGGATGTTCGGGCGCCGTCTTTATGACATTCGGGAACGTCATGCTAGGGCGGCTGGCGATGAGCAAAACAGATTGAGATGTTGAAGTTGTGGTTGAACGCTTTGTTGCCTTCTTGGCATTTTCCTCCAGTTGTTCACTGGAAGCGCTCTGGGAACGGCTGGGGATTGCTTCAGGCAATCTCTGGGAAGGTTTTTTTTTCTGCTCTGGAGAAGGAGTGGCGCCTTTGGGCAGCTTCCGCGAGGTGGATTCGTAGCGTGGGGGGTGCGCGCGAATTTGATAAATTTTCGAGGGATCGTGGCCTCGGGGACGCGACAGCGGCGTAATTTACGAGGGATCGTTGCCTCGTGGGCGCGAATGTGGTGTAATTCACGCGGGATCGTGGCCTCGGGGGCGCAAGTGTGGCGTAACTTACGAGTGATCGTGGCCTGGGGGGGTGAATGTGGAACCCGCCGCCGAATTTTCCAGAAAGGGGTGGGGGGCAAAATAATACCAGCGGAACACATATCCCAATACAGAAACTTGTAGTTTTTCTGCTTTGGAGAGGGGGAGCGCCTTTTCGGCAGCCTCCGCAAGGCGGATTCGTGGCATCGGGGGCGCGCCCGCTACATAATTTACGAGGGATCGTGGCGTCAGGGGCGCAAATTTGTTGTAATTTACAAGGGATCGTGGTCTCGTGGGCGCGAAAAATCGTGGCTTCGGGGGCGCGAATGTAGCGTCAATTACAAGGGATCGTGGCCTCGAGGGCGCGAATGATGAATCATTTGCTAAGGATCGTTGCCTCGGAGACGCAAATGTGGTGTAAATTACGATGGATCGTGGCCTCGGAGACGCGAAGGTGGCGTAATTTACTAGGGATCGTGGCCTCGAGGGCGCGAATACAGCTTAATTTGCGAGGGATCATGGCTTGGGGGGGACGAAACTCCCGTATTCTTGCGTATCCCACGACCCCCGTCAGAAATTCGATGCGAGAACGCCAACAACATTGATTTTCCCTTGGTTTTTAATTGATTTTGGCCTCATTGGGGGGTCCTTGGGGGCCTCGGAGGGCACTTGAAACCGCCTTGGGGCCGTTTTGAGGCCTTTTGGACGTGTGTCGGAGGCTATCTTGACCCAGCTACCGCTATTTTGGGCCATCTTGGAGGCCATCTTGGAGGCCATCTTGCTCTCTCTGAGGCCCTCTCGGAGCCATCTTGGGCCGATAAGGTCCCTCTGACACCTCGCGGGGGAGCCCGTCCAGACGCAGGGAGGGGGGGAGGTAAACCTCCCGAGCAGGGAAGGGAAGGAGGTTGGACAAAAAACGCCCTAGAAAACCTGCGCCCAGAGGGCTGGTGGGATTGAAGCAGGGCGCGCCAGTTTCCCATCAGGCCTCGGGAGGTCTCGGGACCTCACTGGTGCCAGCGGTCGTGGTGGTTGGTATCCGTCGGCGTCGTCGTAGCCGAACAATCTCCCGAATTCTCGTGCTGCTCTCTTCGATTTTCAGGACAGAGACAGATCTTCAGGGAAGAGAACCACTTTCCGACCTCCATGACTGGCGTTTATTTGTCAACCTTGGGTGCATGTTGAGCAGCTTACAGCCCCCTGTCCTGTCCAGCTCCCTCCTCGGGTGCGCTTACCCAAAGGGCCTCCCTCGCTTCCTCCCTCGGGCTCGCCGGAAAGTGGCCCAGTTGTCCAGGAAGAATCCCAGTTTGCCGGCAAACGGGTATTTCAGCTCGCCTCGCCTTCCTCCCTCCTGCCCGGAGAGGTGCACAGTTGGCCGGGACAACAAAGGAGGAGCAGCCGCCGCCGTTAGTGATCGCCGAGTGCACCCTCGAGGCCACCTCCTCAGCCTCCCTCGGAGGAGGACGAGTGGAAGCAGGGGCCCCTGACATCCTTGGGCCGTGAAGCAATCACGACGGTACGTTTTGAGCAATATCCGGCCATCGCCAGATCAGGGTTGGTTTTCTCTTGCTCCGACTTCGCTAAACCCGAGTTTGCGGAGCATCTTCCTCTGGGAGAGCCAGCCCTGGGCCTCGGACGGGAAAGGGGCGTCCAGCGTCAGTACCCAAGGTGTCGGCGCGCCAGCTGAAACGAATCACGACCTCGGATGCCTGCGTACGAGGATGGATGGATGAATGGATGGATGGATGGGGCGGGGAGGAGGCGGGGGGAAGTTGGAAGCTGTGTGTGGAGGAGTAGGAGGCCGGTGGAGGAGGAGGACGATGTTGACGATGAGGGGGCAGGCGGATTAGCAAGGAGCAAGTGGAGGAGGAGGAGTAGGAGGGGGGAGGGAGAAGGGGCTGATGGAGGAGGCTCGGATTGGCCCACTCGACGGGCCCCTTTTTCCACGGAGAGCATACGTATAGGGATTGAGATGACATCGGCCCTTCTCGCCCCTCCTCCCTCTCCCTCCCTTCGCTCTCCTCGTCCTTCTCCCCCTCCTCATCGTTACCTCTGGTTTTCAACTTCTTTCTCCGCCTCCACAGCCCCCCCCTCATCATTACCTCTCTTTCTCACTCCCCTCTTCCACAGCGCAGTGCCGGCCTCCATGCTGAACTGCCATTGCTATTGCGCATCCTTCTCCCTCTCCTTCAGGAGGGCCTGGGACCGTAGCTCGCTCGGAAGGCCCACTGGAGGTTTGGGGGGCCTTCTCGGCTGTGAGCTCTAGAACTCCTTCAGGAGCCTCTCGGAGGCCCGGGGGTCCGTCATCTCGGCCCCCTTCCATGATCTGTCTGGAATTTTGCCCTTCAGCCGGCTACTCTACAACAGGCTCCAACCAACACTTGACTCCTGCCAGACTGCCGACCAGACGGGCTTCAGACCAGGTCACTCGACCACCGACCACATTTTCACGTTCCACCTGTTACGTGAACGATCGATAGAGTCGGGCCATAGTTGTGGGTCGCAACGCTCGATCTCAGAAAAGCGGTTGGTTCGGTCGAGCACAAGAGCATCTAGGAAGCATTAAAGGCACAAGGTGTCCAACCCAGATACAACTCACCGCTCCAGCAGCTCTTCGAGTGACACACCGCCACAGTGAAGACGGTTGTCAGCAGCAGACCCTTCAACCTCTTACGGGGCACGAAGCAGTTCGATACCTATTGGAACATTTCTTTAAGCCGCTGACCACCACATGGCAGAACGAGGTCATGAGTTGAACACGGATTCGCGACCGATGCCGCGCTCACAATTTTGATTTTCGCGAGCGATTTTACAAACCATGCTCTTCCACTTCAGCTTGCGATGCTTGATGACATAGTCGCGCGCGCAACAAAACCGCACGGGATCGAACTACACCCCAGAAGCACCACATTTTTCAGCAACCAGACGAGCCGGATTGGAAGGCCGAGCTCATGCACAGTGCGTGTCCAAGATACGGGTACCGACATTTTTGTCTACGAAGGCAGTTCCAAGTATCTCGGCCAATTGATCAGCATCTACGACCCGAGAGACACAGAAGTCCGCCACCGCGCGGCAGTTGTATTTTTCAAAAGGAGTTGGCCAGTAAACAGTACCCGCTGGCAAACCTACATCGACAGTTGTACAGCACAGACACCACGACGGTATGATACGGAGCAGAGACGCGGACACTCGCGGAGCCCCTTCGGCAGCGCCTGCGACGAATACAGAGGCGCATGTCTCATGAGCATTAGGACATCGCGACGACGCACGACGGATCAAGGAGATCCCGACAGCGAGCAGGGAACGACGGTTCGCGACGGGACACGCAGAGAAGCACAAGACAACGACCAGTACGCAAGCAGCACCAGCTGCGGCACGGACAGCAACCCACGGGAGCGCGACGCACTTGTTGCATTTGACCAGCACATCGAGGGCGACACAGCACCAACACAGGTCCGATGGAACTGTGGGTCGAATACATTAAGCGCGCAACACGGCGCTCCTGATATTTCGTGTAGTTCTATCACATCGACAGTTGGGTCATATTGCACGAGCTTAAAGCTTAAATTATGGCGGATGTTTGCAACGAGTCTCAAACAACGACCACACAAAGGCTGTGTTGGTTGCGAACAGTGTTCCAGACGTTCCGGACATGCTCCGGACAACAAGTTGTTCCGGTCCGGACAATTTGTTCTGGACAATTTGTTCTGGACCATTGTAGGAATTGCCGTTCTTGGGGGCCGCGCGAGCGCCCTCGGCCTGGAGCCCCCACGGGAGCCTGTAGCGGCCAAGAAACGTGCGATTCGGGGCCCGCCGGCTCCGCATCGCCTGACATCGACGTCCTTGGGCTGAAGTGGAAGCGGAGGAGGAGGAGCGGGTGGAGGAGGAGGAGGAGTAGGAGGAGGAGGAGGAGGGGGGCGAGGGGGAACGAGGAGGATCGATGAGGGAGAGATGGAGGCGGGAGGGGGCGGGGGAGGGAGGGGGGAGGGAGGAGGAGGAGAACGAGGAGGAATTGCTTTTGCTCAGCTGAGGCCATCGGCCACACTGGGGGGGTACGGACGAGGGGAGAGGGATGAGGAGGAGGAGGAGGAGGAAGATGAGGAAGAGGAGGAGGAGGAGGAGGAGAGAGAAGAGGAGGAGGAGAGAGGAGAGTGCGGATACGGGTGAGGGCGGGCGGGCCGGAAGGTCCCCTGAGGTGTGATATACGGGCCCCAAGCAGGTGTTGTATACGCCGCCCGTAATTGTTGCAGGGCCGTCCGGAATGGCAGTCCTTGGGCACGCTTGGCTGGTTGGCTTGTCGGCGCGGCCTGGCTGGATCGTCGCATCCGGCCGCTGGTGGATGGCAACACCTGGTAGGCTTGGCCCCCGGCCCAGGCCGCAGGGCGCGTCGCCGCCCAGAAACGTTGATTCCTCTCGCTTCGCGGGGTGCACGTCCGGAGCACGTACAGTCACGTCGTCGCGGGGCCTCTTGGGAGCCTCTTGGGGGCCTCCTGGAGGCCTCCTGGGAGTTTCTTTTGGCCTCTTGGGGACTTCTTTGGGGCCTTTCCCCCCTCCTTCCTTTTCATACACCCTTTCCATCTTCCTTTCCAGCGCCGGCTCTAACCATGGGCGCCGCAGTGACCAACTTCCACCTGGCTGGCGCTGCGCCGCAGTTCGCCCAGAGGGGGGAAATGACATTACATTCCAGTCGCTGTGTGGCCTTTGGGGGTTTTTGGGGGGCCTTTTGGAGGCTTCTGGGGGACTTATTGGAGGTTTCTTGGGGGCGTCTTGGGCCGTCTCGGGGCGCTTTTGCGCCGTTTCGCCACCTCGGAGGCTGTTCTGGGGGCCTCTCGCGGCCGTATTGGGGCCCTCTTGGGGTCCTCTTGGGCCGTCTTCGCGGCCTCTTGGACCGTCTTGGGGGCTTCTTTGGGCCGTTTTGGGGCCCTCTTGGGCCGTCTTGGGGCCCTCTTGGGGGCTTTTGGGGCTGTGTTGCTGCAATTCTGGAAGCTGCTTGGGCCGTCATGGATTTATGAAAGTCGAAAAAGGCGAGACCGCTAACATATTGCAGAAGCCATTGGAAAATCAATGATTTCGGCCTCTGGAGACGCAGTTGTGGGCGCTCTTGGGGCCCTTTTGGGCCGTCCTTGGGGCTTTGGGAGCCCTCTTGGGGCCGTCTTGGGGGCCTCATGGGCCCACGTTGGGAATATCTTGGGCCGTCTTGGGCGGTCTTGGAGCCATGTTGGGCCATCTTGAGGCCTTCTTGGAGTCCCCAGAGGCCCAAGAGGCAGAATCTAGCATTCTAGGTTTTTGTAGCATTCCAGGGCCCCAGAAGGGAGCGACCAGTTTGGTACGGCGCTGTGGCGCGGCTCCCAGGGGGGGTTAGGGGGGATACATAATAATGTATCACAATACAATATGTTGCAAGTTTGGTATCTTTGGATACATTGGATACGTCGCATCAGGGCGTTCGCCGAAAAACGCTGCCCCTCAGCACGTCACCTCCGGAAGTGGATTCCTCCCGCTTCGCGGGGTGCACGTCCGGAACACGTACAGTCACGTCGTCGCGGGGCCTCTTGGGAACCTCTTGGGGGCCTCCTGGAGGCCTCCTGGGAGCTTCTCTGGGGCCTTTCCCCCCTCCTTTTCATACACCCTCCCCATCTTCCCTTCCAGCGCCGGCTTCAATCATGGGCGCCGCAGCGCCCATCTTCCACCTGGCTGGCGCTGCGCCTCAGTTCGCCCAGAGGGGGGAGCATGACATTACACTCCAGTCGTTGTGTGGCCCTTGGAGGGTTTTTTGGGGGCCTTTTGGAGGCTTCCAGGGGGCTTTTTGGAGGCTTCTTGGGGGCCTCTTGGGGCCTCTTCGGGGCGTCTTCGGCCGTCTTGGCGCTTTTGCGCCTTTCGCCCCCTCGGAGGCTGTCCTGGGGGCCTCTCGCGGCCGCATTGGAGTCCTCTTGGGCCGACTTCGCGGCCTCTTGGACCGTCTTGGGGTTTTTTTTGGGCCGTTTTGGGGCCCTCCTGGGCCGTTTTGGGGCCCTCTGGGTTTTTTTTTGGTTTGTTCTGGGGCGATTCTGGAAGCTGCTTGGGCCGTCATGGATTTGTGAAAGTCGAAAAAAAAACGAAAACGCTAAACTAGTAAGCGATTAAGGACCCCCCCCCCCTCTCCGGTGAAAGGATAACGCACCCGGCACCCGGAAGCGTTATCCTGGCACCAGGAGGGGGTGCACCAGATCCTTCCTTCGCTTTCCTCAGCTTTTCTCAGTTTTTTCTTAGTTGTTCTAAGCTTTTCCTTAGCTTTTCTCAGTTTTCCCTTATTCGCATTCGTATTCTTATTCTCATTACAATTCTAATTGGGATGCCACCCGAGGCGGGGCGCTGGAATTATTTATTTTCCTTCCATTTGCGCGGTGCTAATAATATCGCTCGGCGAAAACCCCCCCAAATAATTATTTAATTAC